GGGCGCCTCAGAACGGCAGGGGGGGGCCGGGGGCGCCGGTGCGGCTCCCCGCCGCCCCTCCCCCCCCCACGACGGAGGCCCCCGGCCTGCAGCGCTCACCCTCAACACCCGACCCGGCAGCGGCGTAGGGCAACGCCCGCCTCCGCTCTCCCGCCATTGGGGGGACCGCGATACGGCGGCTCGCGGAGTGGCCGTCCCGCACGTCAATTAGGAAGCGGTGAGGCGAGCGGGCCCGCCTCTTATCCGGCCGCGGGGCGTGCTGGGAGTTGTAGTTTCGCGGGCGGCTGTGGGCGGAGCGGGCCTGCGGCCTGTGCGGGGCTGCCCGGGGCCTGCCGGCGTTTCCCGGCGGGGTGCCCCGTCCCTCAGGGGTGGCGGCTGCCCCTTGGAAACGCTTCCTCGGTCCCGGGGTTAGTTCGGCCCCGGCGCACCCCGAAAGGGGCGGCCGAAGCAGCAAAGTTGCGGTGCCGGGGGCAGGCGGGGTGGGCGTGGGGGCTGTGTGGCATAAGTAGCCCAGATCCTCGGTGTAACTCGTTACAGACACTCGCAGACGATTTTCAGTGCCCTCGCCTCACCGTCAAAAAAGGGTTTCCCCAGCTGCTTTGCCTTAATGCAAGGATCGTCTGGCCTTTCCTGGATCTTGCTGCCCCGTGCCCGGCCGCTTGCCTGGTTGCTGATAAACTCGTAGTGTTTCCTGGTGACTTCTCTTGCCTTCTCCTGCCCCGGGTGAAGGGTGCTCAGGATTTGTACTAGCTATTTTTTTTTGCTTGCCATGCCAACGTAACTGTGTCTTTGGTTTCATTTGAATAATAAAATACCTGTGCTCTCTAGGGCAGGTCGGATCACCTGGCCAGGCAGTCACTGAGCATGGGCTTTGCCTCGTTACCTGATTTGGAAGAAGGAGCCGAGTGCCACCCAGCAGCGACCGTCTTACAGCAGGGGTGAGCACCCTGTGCCCGATGCTCATGGCAGGGCTGAAACCCCTTGGTCTTCCTTAGGTGATCTGGGCCTCGTTGCACCGTAGTTGCATGTGAAGGCTTTTGTGGTCTGGCCATTTACACACGTAAGAGATCTCTGGAATGTGCAGCTTTTGGCACTAAAAGGGTTTCTTAATGAGTCTGTCACTAAGATCAGACAGGTGAAACCTCTGATTTGTAAGTCTGTTTTGTTAGATCATTTAAGAGTCACCCTTCTTCACTTACCCTCCTCTTCTTGGCTGCAAATACTGTAACAGATGTGTAAATGAATGAATCATGAATTATTCATCCACCTGCATTTCCGTGAAGGGTGATGAGTGTAGTAGAGGCTTTGCTGACTCTCAGTGATCTGTGTGTGGATTAAGCAGGTTGTGGATGGTCTGTGCCACAGACACGAGCTGAGGCAGCAGTGTGAATGCAGCTGTATTGCTTGAAAGCTCACCTGACTCCAATGGCATTACAGCTGCTTTTCTAATATAACACTAATGAGTCCTACCAGACCTTTGCTGGCTCTGTGTTGGATCACCTGAGGTTTCTGTGTGCCACATCTGGAAAAGGAATACTAGACAAGGCGCTCTAGAGGCCAGGGGCAGAGCAGTTCTGGGTAGGATCTACTGCCTCCAACATCAACTTATCTGTGTTTGTCAGGAGGAATGTGGTATTTTTAATGTTATTCTGTGTATTCTGTTGCAAGACCTGTCATCACTGAAAAATCAATAGGCTATAGTGATATAAAATTATCAATATAGGAAATATTGATACATTTCCTAAAAGACTCACATTCTTCTACATTCCTCAAAACATTGATTCTGAAGATGACTTTATGCATCAGATCCTAAAGTAGCAATAGGGCTATTTGTGACTTCTGAAGGAAAAAATTCCACAGCTGGACTATTGAGATTCCTCTATTCCTCAGTCCTTTCATTTGAGAGCAGGGAAAATATGGAGAAGGAAATAGTTATGAATCAGCTTGATTGCAATTCAGTAAGAATTTAGAAAACTGGGCCCAACATCACAGGGGAAGAAGCATGCAGTATGATGGGTTTTTGAAATTTCTGTATTACCTACCTAAATACACCTGCCTATCTATTTGCTTAATGATGATTTAATTTCTTTTTTTAATTCTCAAAATGCAAGACACATCAAAAAGTTTAAAAGGAACTGTCACAGACCATGACTGTCAGCCCTGTTAATTGCTAGCTTCTGGAAAACGATAAGGTGTTAGAGTCACCAATTGGTTTTGTTGTTCTGGAATACAATGCAACAGAATGCTGAACAACTGCCAAGGAAGATGATAAGCTCCCTGCCACCAAGGGTTTGTCGTTTTAAGCCATTACAATCCCCTACTACACATAGTGTCATAGTTCCCTCTTCTCTGTAGTTCTCCTGCTATGATTTCTTCTTTTCACTCTCCTATGTTCCTTAACTCTTTCTATGGAGCATGAGCCCTATGTTGATTTTGTGGATTACTGTAGCATTTACTTTGAATGAAAAATACAGCACATTTTATCAGCTTGCTGATTGTGGAAGTGATCTTCACAGCTAGATGGCAACAAAAGAATTCCATTAGACTTTCTTAGTAAAAAGTGAGAAATGTAATGTTGTGAGAGGATTAAAAGCAGCTGCCTGACTCTAGTGTCAGCGACAGTCTCCTTCAATTTAAATATTTGCAATAGCCATAATTAAACACTTAGTAACTGGCATCAAGTTAAAGTAGAAATACATTACAAAGTCTTACTGCTCTGCAGATTTTAATTCAGATTTATATCCTCCTTGGCTTTGTGCCTAGAATAAGTCTTGTGATTTAAAGGCTGTTTTACACAGTATAGAAATTGTTCTCCTTCCACTGTTTAAAGACTGAAGAGATTCACATCTGTGAGTAGACGGATGGTCTGTCTGGGTCACTGAATCTAGACTCTGGCTCCTGATGGCTATCACATCATCTAAACTTTCTAAACAGTTTTTCCCTCATCCTCTAAAACCGGTGTTGAAACTGGTGATGCAAGAGTTTCACACAGTTACTGTCGTGTTAGAAGATATGTTAGGAGCTTGGGCTGACCGTGCCTTCTGAAAAGATGCATATGTAAACAAATGTTGCTTGGTTTTTGCCCTCATTTTTACTGTCTTGGAAGATGATCATAGAAAACCACGACATAGTATACAACGATAACAGACATACAGATCTCAACATTCTTACACAGATATTTGCCATTCTGCTGTAGGAACTTCGATGGTAAGGTTTGGGTTTCTTAAAGCTTTTGATTCTAACAACAACAAAAAAGTATCATTATAGTGTAAAAACAAAATTCTATGACAAAAACATTAATGCATTTTTATTCTATTGTGCCTGTATGACCCAGATGTTTCTAACCACACTGTAAAGGTGAAATAAAGATTAAAATTCAACCTTGTAGGAAATAGGTACACTGGGAGATTTCCAGCAGGCCTGAATTTGTTCCAAATGTATTTTATTTTACTTCAGAGCGCAATATGCAGACTGTGGCTCCACTTCTTGCTGCCTCATAGGCAGCCATTTTCTGAGCTGTTTCTCTGGCCATGAAGCCATGTTGAAGGATCTTGAACTGTCTTTCCCGACTCTCTTCCAGTTCTTTCCAATGCTTCCATTGCAAAGAATCCTGCAGAAAAGACACACAGATGATCAGACTGCAGATAATACAGTGGTTCTCTTAGAGGATACACTGAACTTCTATTTGATAATCTGGCTGGCTGGCAACACAGTTTATTTGCTAACGTGATTGGGAAAGCTGTCAACATCAAACTGGGCATGATAAATAGAAAGGTAATTTGAGTGGGTTGCCCAGTTTAAGAGGAATTAAACATGGCTGCAACACTCCTCAAAATGCTAAGTCAAGATAAAACTACATCTGGATGGTTTGTTCCAGTGCTGCTACCTTATGTTCTTTCTTTGCCAAGAGTTTATTCTTGAAGCCATAAATGAACAGTTGCACAAATCCTATCGGACTCTAGTGGTTTGCTCATTCAAAAGCTGGGTTCACAAGGGAGCATTCCCCCAAAAGCTCAGAACAAACAGAAAAATGCTACTTTTTCATCTGATTCTTTGCATAAAATGATAGAAATTTTTTTTCATTAATGGTAGTTTTTCTTATGGTTAGTTTTCTAAATTGCAATATAAATTCTGTTTTATCAAGAATGTAATAGTGATTTATAAATACATGTTACCTTGACTTATATCAGCACAAACCCATTGGGCCCAAAGGGCCACCACAAATGTAACCGCAGCCACAATCTGGAACTTTAAGACAAGGGGTTAGTGTCACTTTTTTTCTACTTATTGAGGAACCTAAAAGGTAGCAGTACTAACTGAATGCCAGATAACTGTTGCATTATAACTAAGGGAGGAATTTTTTTCTATAGTCACCCTAATACCATTTTCAGCAATATGCAGTTCAACTACAACTACAGTAAAGATGCTGCTGAACATATCTGACCAGAATTGAGCCACTTTCCTGTAGTAACGTTTGGATAGGGTCACACAGAGCTGAACGGCACTGATGGAAAATACACCAAACCAGCTGAATAATTTAGAGTAACCTTGTATTTTTTCTATTTTTTTTTTTAACAGATGTCTTCTTAACATTTGAGCAGAACATAAACAAAACCACCGTGACATCTTAAGAAACTTACTGTTTAAAGCTAAACTCAAGAAAAAGATAAAATCTAACTTCAAAACAACTTTCAAACCCTGGCTTTTTTGCTCACTCATGTGACACCAGAGCACTCATACAGACCCACATCAGGTAGTCAAAAGTTCCAGGTGTGAATTTATTATTTCTCTTTGTTTATTTAAAAAATGTCTCATGTTTGTAATTATTTGGCTGCTTTCCTTTGAAGTCTGCATTTACTACTTCTACTTTACTCTGGACTCCATTCAGCAAAGTGTTTAAGCATGTGTTCAAAACTTCAGTTCAGAAAGGCATCCCAATTTAGATGCTTTCTTCAAATAGGTCTTCAATGTTTTCTTTGCTAAAAGGAGTAGACCTAGTTGTCTGTATAAGCACCTATATGTTTTGCTTGCCTGAAAGGGGATTCTGAAGGCAGCAAACATTGATACTCTGAAAGATTGCACTATTTTGGTTTTTAAACTATACACACTTGAAAAATAAAGTTTTCCTCTTCATTGAATTCAGCTTCATCTAACTTTCTCACAAAACAG